CATTAAATTGCTCTTGTAAGAGGAGCTGAGAAGGACACCTCTGTGAGATCAAACTTTTCTGGATTGTTCTTTGCCAGGCGTGTGCTCAGCAGAGGCTGCACCAGATAATGAAGGCAGCAGGGGCTTAATGCCAGACAGGCCTTTTGATTAGATCACACTCTAGTTAAAAGACAGAGAATGTCAGATTCCTAAGTTCTGTTTCAAATAAATGCCTATTCCTGATTTCAGGACATGAGAAAACCATTACAAGAACCATGACTTGATAAAATGGCAGTTACCTCATTTTTGATGCTTCATTGTTTTTTGAAGTTGTAGAGAATTATAAACATCTTTCTTGGGTTCTGTCCATTTTGTGTTTTGCTCCATTTAGTTTTGCAGAGATAAACAAACCCAGGGAAGAATGAACAGAAGTTGGATGGCTTTTTCATGTCCACTAATTTTGTGTAAATTCATATGTCTTAAGGCTTCAGATGAAGCATATCATTACCAAGCATACAGTTGTACTCATCTGAAGGGTTTTATAAGGGTTAATATGGTGTTTTTCCTTGTCCCTCTCCTGGTGGTGTCTGTGGTGAGGTGTGCCAGCCTGCCTCCCCAGGATGGACAGGACATTCCCATTTCCTAGGCTGGGTTCTGGAGCTAGCACATGGATGCCCCCAGGATGCCCCATCCCCCTGAGGAGTTCACATTGACTCCAGGCTTCAATTTTGGTTGCAGATTTCCCTGTAGTGTCTTTGTTTCTTCAGCTTTTACATGTCTGCCCTGGCCTGACCAGGCTGGCCAGGTGAGCTCTGGTCCCTACCAGGGTAGGGACCCATAAGGAAAGGCAACCAACAAGGACACCAGGTATTACTGCAGTACCTGTTTCAGGAAGCCAGTGATGGTGGCAGTCTGCTCAGCAGTTCCTGAGATGAAAAGCAGCTGAACCCACCCTCCCATAAGGCCTTGAGCAGGATGAAAGTGTCCAGCTCCCTTCTGCTGTTTGCTGCTCATCCTCATTCCCCTCTGAGCTCTCTCTCCCCTCCTTGCAGGGACATTGACCGTGTTGATCAGATCTGGTGAGCATTTACAGCAGCCTCTCTCTGTTGTCTGTCTGCCTTTTCTTGGTAACTTCTCCAAACTAACTTGGTGTGTTCCCTCTCTTTCACTTGCCTAGAAGTCACTAGAAGCAAGCTGTGGGTGATGAGCACAACCTGTTGGGTGTGCAGGTCTGGGCCAACAGGCCTCTCTCTTCACAGAAAGGCTTTTAGGACTTGGCTTTTGGTAGCTTGAACTGGGATGCAGATCACACTAACACCCTCAGTGAATTGTGTGTTTGAGTAACAGAGAATGCTTCACTCCTAACTGAGGAGAGACTGTCCTCCAAGTTTAGCCACATACATTTATTTTTTCTTTTCCCTTTTTTGCCTTATTTCTGGGAGAGGTTGACATGTCACCAGACTGTTCTAATATTGCTGTGAAATAGGTTGAGGAAAAACCTGCCACTTATTTTAGAAGGACTGAAAATCCTGTGGCAGGAGCAGGTGATGCAGAACTGGTGGAGGGTTAGTATCACCAAAACCAAATGGATGAACACCCACAATTTAGTGACAAGAGGAGGTATTGGTAGCATGAATTGAAGTCCTCAAAGGAGCGAGTTCACTTTTCCAGCCTGTTTTTTGATGTCTAATTTCTCAAGCAAAGCAGAGGACCACCAGGATAGAAAGAATGAGTTGTTCAGAGCTTCCTGAAGCTCAGGGGAGAACAGTTCCAGAACACTGTTATCTATCCCAGAAGGATAAAACAACAACAAAACCTCAAGCATATGTTAGGAAGCTGGTGAGCTACAACAAACAGATATTTGTTTTAATCCCTCTGGTTCTTTTTTGACCTCATCCATCACCAGTGAGCTTCTGCCAGATAATTGTGCTTTGAGCAGCAGAGGTGTGGGCTGTCAGAACTGCTTTTCTGCAGGGTGTTTCTGTTCAGCACCTCCTAGGACTGGTTTTACTCCTCCTGCTTTTTTTCCTGATAGGAATTTTTAACAGGGTCCTTAAGAAGCCTTCAGAAGCACTGCGGAAGGGCTGGCCCTTGTCAGCCTCCTGGTGCCAGGGTTTGAGCCCAGGAGCTGAGAAAATCAGCCCATTGAAGTGAGAAATGGGATTTCTTTGCTGCCTCTTTCCCCACCAGTGACCAGCAGCTGGCAATCTTGTCTCTTGGCAAGGAAGGATTAAGCAAAGCTGCCTGGGCAGGACTCTCTGTCAGTCTCTTGGCAGCCACAAAGTTTGTTGAGTGCAGAACAACAGCGGCACAAAATCCTGATGCCGAAGAGTTAACAGAAAGGGCTTCAGGTGTGGAGGTAAACTTGCAGAAGTCAGGTCCCTGGGGAGCTGCTCTGAACTCCTGGCAAGGATGGAGGAGTTTGGAGGACAGGGCACTGCAGTGCAGGGCAGCCTGGCAGGGGCTGAGAAGAGCTAATTGTGCTGGAGATGTGAATGGGATCCCTGCCTCCTGCGAGGTGCATGTGCCTCCCCCAGCTGGCAGCTGACACCTTGTGCCTGAGCCCAAGCACCCACAGCAGCCTTCCTGCTGTTTCCAAGCATGGAATGTCTGGCTGCTCCTCTTCTGGCTTTGCATGATCCTTGTTGACTCAGTTTACCTCGTGCAGCAGCGTGGGAGCGCCGGGAGCAGCAGCAGGGCCGGCGCTGCTGGAGCAGGGGAGGAGGCAGCAGCCACCCCTAGGTTTAATTTATTTCATCTGTCTGGTGGTTGAACTTCCCAGCAGTGCACTTGAAAGGAGCAGAAGAAAATGTCTCTGTGCTGGTGCTCATCAGCACACACTTTTAGAAGAGTAATGGGGCAGAGTCTCCTCCCAGGATTGCAGTATCCAGTCTGTGTCTAAGGCAAAGCTGGATCCATGAGCAGGGCCAGAATTCCACACTCCACACATCCCTGTGGAGGAAGGTCCTTGGTTTGCTCCCTCTCAGCTGTGTGTCCCCAGGGTGGCAGTGACAGGGTGAGCAGCACCATGCCTGAGCTCTTCTGTGGGACATGGCAGAGAGCTTCCTCCAACAGGACAAGGGACAATGGGCACAAGCTGGAGCACAGGAGGTTCAAGCTCAATGTAAGGAAAAGTTTCTTTCCTGTGAGGGTGACAGAGCCCTGGGACAGGCTGCCCAGAGAGGCTGTGGAGTCTCCACCCCTGGAGACATTCCAAACCCATCTGGATGTATTCCTGTGGGATCTACTGTAGGTGATCTTCTCTAGCTGGGGGTTGAACTAGATGGTCTTCAGAGGTCCCTTCCAACTCCCCCACTCTGTGACTGTGGAGGCATAAGTCCCAGTGTGGGACACGATGGTGCTGCACAGAAGAGCCATCACTGTGGAGATGTCTAACAAATTTTATACCATCATTTGCTTTGTGCTCCTTCCTGGTGTCCATTCCCCAAAGCTCTGCTTCAGTTCCAGAAGCTCAGGGCTGTCTTTGCAGGCTCCTGGTACTTGGGGAGGAACAACTGCAGTCTCCAGGGTTGACCCCATCACAACACTATGAGTAGTGAAATTGTAGAACTCGGAGAACTTTGTCCAACTGCTTCTAATATTTTCTTTTTCCATTTCTTCTCTGTTCCTGACACAAGGAATTGTGGAAATGTGTTCTGCTCCAGTTGCTGTAACCAGAAGGTGCCCGTTCCCAGTCAGCAGCTCTTTGAACCCAGCAGAGTCTGCAAATCGTGCTACAGCAGCTTGCACCCCAGCAGCTCCAGCCTTGATCTTGAACTGGATAAACCCATCACTGCCACCTCAAACTAATGTTCCAGCCCCAGTGCAGCGGGAGTAGCCATGCCCACTCCTCCCAGTAGATTCCTGATGGGCTGAGGCTGGGAGGCTGTGGGAGCCATGCACTTTGGAGGTCGGGGCATGGGACACTGCTCGGTGGGACAGAGCTCCAGGACGTACCGCTGGATTGTGGGATTCTCCTTTCCCAGCTCTTCCCCCTTTCCTTCCTGTCCTATCTGTGTGTATGTTGTCTATGCGTGCGTGTGTGTATATATATAATAATATATATATGTTTGTTTGCTGGAAGATTGTGGAAGTGGGATGGGAACTGGCCCAGAGCCAGAACTCCCCTTTGTATTTAACTGTCCCACTGCTGAACTGTTGCAGACAGACAATGTGGAGGAAAGGAGAGGGGGGATCAGCCCAGCCAGCGTGCGCGGTGTGAGTACCTGTAGCGTCAGCGCTAGTGCTTTCAATCACTCCTCTTAAACTTCCAAACAAGAAACTGCTGTTTGGGAACCTGTTGCTGCTAGAAGAAATGGGAATCTCTTTCCCAAGAGAGCACTCTCCCTCTCTGTTCTTAGAGTGGGCTTAGTTACCCTGGCTGTGGGAAGGGGGAATGGCTCCCGGAGCTCCCGGTGGCTCTGTCCTCGCACCCACCGGTTCCGCTGCGGCTCCTCCCGGATCACCCGGACAGCACTGGCTGGGGAAGCATGTGCCTGTTGGAGAGGCAGGATGGGGCTGGAGGGGCTCCAGCTGAGGTGGGGTCTATGCTGGCACCTCTCTCTCAAGTTCTGTAAATGCAATTCATTATTTAAACCCGAGTGGGAAAGTAGGAGACCATCAGCTTCTGTCCTTGCCCCTCCGGAGGGCTCACCCAGTGCAGCTCCCCGAGGAGCAGGCACTTGCTGTGGTTCTCACAGACAGGCCCTCCAGCTGTGCCCAGACTCGCACTTTAATGAGACTGTCCAAGCCAAGGGGACACACTGGGGTGTTCCCTGGGCTTGGTCCCTGAGGTGCACCACTGGGGCTTCTCATGTTCCTGGGATGTCTCCTCTTTCAGTCTCTATTCAGTATACTCCAGATAGGAAAAACCTGCCTGCGAATTTTATAAAGACCTGGAATACGTCACGGATTCCCTTTCTTCCTTCTGCCCCAACCTGAGTCACTTTCCAAGTCACCTCATTAAAGTGTGAATCTCCTGAATATGTTTTACAGTGAGTGTTGGGTCCTCATCCCCTTCCCTTCTCCAGAGCCCGGTGCAGCTTGGCAAGGAAGAAACAGAGATCCTGCTGCACAGGGGCTTGCCCAGACACACTTACAGCTGCTCTTGTGACACTCTCAAGAACAAAACAATCCTGCTGGAGTATTTGAGAGTTTTAAATACAAAAATCTAAGAAACCTTGGGAAGGGAGTGCTTCCCTTCCCTGGAATGTCAGAATCACACAATCCAAAGCAAGTATCACACGGAGAAAACCATCTCAGATTATTGGTGAGCTCTGATGGGGAGGAGGAATGTCAGGGTGTTTCATTGGCAACTTTGAACTTCCCCCACCCATTGCAAGGACTGTTAAGCTGCTGCAGCCTGAGCTGAGGATTCACAAGACAAAAATGAATGTCCCAGGAGGCTGGTTGAGCCTGGCAGGCTGAGCCCGTACGGGAAGGGGGGGTCTGGTAACGAAGCATCCAGGGATCTCCCCTGGCACGGGTTTCAGAATGTTTTTCAAAGCATCAGGAGGGAAGAGCAAAGGAATAGATGGGTTCTGTGGTCGAGTTGTACCCTAGGAGTGTTTGTTCCTAAAGCAGTGCAGTGGGGGGCTGGGGTAGAGCTGTAGGCATCACTGCTCTGTGTCAGGCAGACACAGCTGGAGTGGGAACGGGGTAACGCCCAGCCCTGCCCCCCGGGGGGTGGGTAGAGGTGTGACTTTAGGGGCAGGGGTAGTTCTGCACACTAACATTGTGTGGGTTTGTGGTGCACATAGACAGTCAAAAATAAGTCTAAGATTCTGCAGTTCCTAATGACAGGTGCCAAGAGGTTATGATACGGGTTTTTGGGGTCTGTGATGTACAGTGTGAATAAATGCTTGCAGCTCTTAGTCTTTTTTTGATCGATGAAGCACTTTTTTAATTAATATTATATTTCTTTGTATGTAAAGGAGGAACCAGTATCTCTCCATAGCTGTATATATAACCCTTCTCTCCTAAAGAGAGTAAAGTGCTCCTATATTTTTCATTTTTGTCAAAGTGAGAAGTAAATACTTTAGAATTGTTAAATATATAAATAAAAGTGAATAAAGTTTAGACTTTTGCATGGGAGCATTTGCTAACACACTTTCTAATTTTTTAATTTTTCTTCCCTGTCCTTCTTAGGGAATATATTTGAGGTTCAG